GCAGTTAATAATCAATCAGGTATTGCCGCTTTTAAAATCAGGAGTTATTTCCAAGCAATAAGGAACAGAACAAGTAATGAATTCAGTGTTGAGACTGTTCCACAGGTCATGATGTAATCAGGAAAAATAACTTGTGAATACACTGATTTGACTCTTAGATAAAAGTAGGAGAAAAGAAGAAAAAGTTACTTTTGCATTGTCTGAAAAATTCAGAAAAAGCTTCAAATAATTCTTTCTCTATTTATCTCCACCTTTAATCACACTGTTATACACGGGTGTGTTTTATTATCTCGAGGCTATTTTTCTTCAATGAAGTTCATGGTTCTGATAGCAGAGAAAGGCCACTAGAATAAAGGCAGTTAGTCACATTATGTCCTGACAATTATAGTGCTGCTGGGTCAGTGAATGGTTTTCAGCTCTGTTTGGCTTAGGGTGAGGTGCTATTTTCTAAATTGAATAAAAGCCACCGTCAATGTGACATTTAGATACATTTTTCATAATACAGATGCAGAGAGTGATAAAGCTAAACAATAACCACTCCCGGATTGACATCAAAGCTAAAAAGATTTATATCACAATGTAATATTATGTGTATATATATATATATTCAAATTCAGTGAGTATGTTAAAGTGTATGTATGTCTTCCAGTATAAAGCCTGTCACCTGAACACTGCAGTGCTGACTGGCAAGGGTTTGTGGTTTCTTCCCTTTGAAGGACATCGGTTATGACAGTAGTGCAGCTTGTGTGCAGCTAGGTTGTTCAGCCACTGTGATGATCAGTGGGAACAGAAGCTGGAGACAACATATGCACCTATGTGTTACTCTGAAAAAACCCCACAATTTTTTCATATGTGAAAGACAGAGTGTGTTTCACGCAGCATCTCTGAAACAAATTCTTCCCATTGTTGTTAAATCAGAGTCTCTCCCCGCAAGGTTCTCCTGCCTCCATGTCTTTATCACACAAGGTTGTTTTTATTCTGCATTTATAATGCAAATGAACTCAAAAAGTGCATTAAGATAAGTGATTTCTGCCATTCTTTTCCCTTCCATTACCTTATAATGGAGCTCTGCAGGTTTTTAACATCAGAATTAAGAGGTGTGATGATCAGGACGTGTCCTTGCTTTCCTATCCATTATCTGGCGCTGCTCGAGAGCCAAAGCCACAGGTGCTAATGGCTATCTTTTTCACAAGCTGCCCATGCCAACTTCTGACACGCTGTAGTGACAGTTTGGGTCCAACTGTTCATGCACATGCACAGTCCATTTGTCTCTGCCTCTATGCGTCATTGAAAAGCTCTTGTGAAGCGCTGTGCCCATAAAAATCTCTTTCTGCCACAGAGAGTGGTGGAGAGATGAGGATATATTATATTAATGAAGCGACGACAAAAAGGTGGGCGTAATATGAATGGCAGAATAATAGGGTGATGGCAATGAGTAAGCACACTGGCACCGAATCCATGCATTAATTAACACAAATGAGTGTCAGGCAACCGTGAATGACTGGCTGACAGGCTCCAGGAGGAAGTACTTTTGATTTATTCTGTAAAGTGCATGATTATTTTTCACATTTTCTCTCGCAGCCTATCCTTGACATATGCGTCTTTTATTTGACACACTGTGTTCTAAATGCTGCTAATGATGATGAATCAGTAGCGACAGCGGTCTGGGCCACAGGATGAGTTGTTATTCAGAAAGGGTGTGTGCGTGTTCATCTGAAGACTTATAAATGTGTTAGGGTTGACGTTTTGACAGGCCTCGGCAAACTGTTCACATTGATTGATGTGCCAACACGTTCCTTCTGGGTCCTGGCGTCCAATGAAACGCGCCGGTTGCAGCTGAAAGACTACCCATTTATCAGCATCTTAATTATACAACAGAGGGGCTCAAGACCTTGTTAGTCCAAGGAAAATAGCTGTTGTTATGCCGTACCTGATGTTGTGGAGGCAATTCCCTCTGTGTTTATATTTTGCCGTGCAGCTTTAGAGATAATGGATGATTTATGAGGACTTTTTTCCAGCCACTAGTTGAGGACAGAGAGTCTTTCACAAAGCAAAGGCATCACACACTGCTGTAGTACCAAGGGGGTTGACAACAGGACTTCAGTGCACATAATGTGGGGAGCAACAAAATAAGGCTCTGCTCGTAGTCGTTTTTTTTGCACATCTCTGGATACTTCCACTGCTCATTTCTTAACAACTTCTACCGAACATCAACATTTCCATTAGTGAGCCAATTTCCCCCAAAATAATAATAAAAAGGGAACAGTCCCTTGGGGTGCACTTAGAGACCATATTAAAGTACTGCAAAACAGTGCTTAATTTGTTTTTTATGAACAATTCCACTGTGCGTTCCTACCTTGACATTACATTTAGAGATGAGCTGCCTTCAGAGAGATTTATGCTTTATGTGGTTTGTAGCTGGTCTAAGGAGTGTGCAACAAAATATCATTAAAAAGCGCTCATGTGAATGTGTAAAACTGAATCAAATACGCAGAGTCCAAATTAAAACAAAAGGGTTCGTGAATGTCTTGAATCACAGAACAACAGTGGAACAGATAATCATTTGAATCAAATCCTTAAAATTCAGTGTGATCACTGTAATCCCAGGATGCATCTCTCCGCTTTTGCTTCTTGAATGAAAATGCTCCTCTGCATAAACCATGAGTGGCCATCCAGTGGTCTAAAGAGCATGGCAATAATGATCAATGGAATTTTAAAAGCAGATATGAAGCAAATAGTAGATTGGTAGATTTCATCTTTTATAAACCTGAAAAATACTTAATATATTATATTCATCATGTGATTATGTGACCAGTGTTGGTTTTATCCATTCTGTTGGAACTGACCACCGGCACAACACAATCCTGTTCATAAATCCTGATGCCTGTGTATCTATTATTCTTCTGTGCCTCTTATATTCCCATAACCAGAAGGCTATTTTAGGAAAGAATCGATGAAAGCCCAGATGTGAGGGCCCATTTTCCTTTGAGAGAAATGAAATGAAGGGCAGCGAAGTTGGTCCCTCATGTTCATTCTCTTTTTTGACTGACTGCATTCAAGTTCACTGAGATGTCTCGAAACTATCTTAAAGAAACAAGCTGAGCTGACTAACTGAACACGATATGCAAATGTGGTCATTACAGCAGTTGTTGCATCTAAAAGTAGCACTAAAACAATAACTGAAGTCCTGTCCTACTTTCTAACTAGCTTCGTGTCCCATTGGCCTTTGTTTCACAGTGTATTTTCATATAGATAAAGACAAGTACAGGCCCACTGTGAAGAGACACCAAGAAAAGAAACAGCAAAATTCACCATGGAATTTAGGCTTAAAGAACTTTTGTCTTAATAGGGGACTGTGCTCAGTGTGATGGCAATAACCACAGTCGAAAAGCTACACTTGTTGTGCATGAATGTTTGGAATACTGAGAACAAACTCACGTAATAAACTAGACACTAGCACTTAGTCGAGTGAATTCCTCAGCCAAGGCCCAACAGTCTATTTATATTCAGTCAAGCTGCACCAAATTCCACACACTCATAGATATTCGTCCCCTGAATACCCCATTTTTTCTCTGTGTTGTTTTGTGGTAGACTTTTCTGTAATGTTTGTGTAATCTTACTAACAAACAAAGAGCCAACAAACAAACAGCAAACAAAAAAAGACACACACACACACACACACACACACACANCACACACACACACACACACACACACACATCAACCAACCAACCAACAAACAACCAGACCTGTGTGAAAATAGAACCTCCTTGCGAATCCAGGTAATTGTGGATTCGCCATAATTGTTGCGAACTAGCTTATAGGCATATTGATAGGTCTTTAGGATAACCATACTCTGTATATAAATAAAATGGGAAAAAAGTGAAGCAAAGCATCTCAACACCTTCATGTTAGTGGATGGGACATAAAACATTTATTTAAAAATGGGATGAAATGGCTCGAAACATCAGCTAATGTATGCGATTGGTTGAGTGCATATATCGCTACGGATGACTACTGTGCAGACTCTGGCTTCATTCCTGGATATAGGGAGGAAGTGAAGACGTGTCGACCACCTTTAAACACAGTCTATATGGCTAACTAAAGCTAAATGATATATGGAATTGCTAGACTGCACAAGTCAGTAGCAAGGGCGTGAATCATTTTAACTTATGCATGTGTCCCAGCTAGCCAGAAACACTGTTCGTCAGTAAATGTTCTTTATACTATATTATACAGTATCTTTGATGGTGACATCTACAAATATCAAGCTTTATAAGCTATATAATAGAGCTATATTGTCTATTTCTTAATTTGTAAGTGACAGTATCTTTCTTCTATCATATGTCACCTTGATTTAATTGGCTCTGATCCGTGCACTTGTTTTATCTTCAATATCAAGGTTGTGGTGCAGGTCACATCAGTGCACATAAAGGAAAAAGTGTTTAGCAGCACTTGGCGAGGGTGAAATTGAGCATTTACAATAATACTCTGTTAGTCTGGGTCAACACATTGATGCTACTAATCCTGATATTCACTGTCACTGTCTATCAACAGAACAGCAGGATTGAAAGGTTGTTATATTTTGTTAGTCACCTGCGCCCAGACTGACGAGGGTTGTCTGTGAATTTAAGGAATTTTAAACAGATCAGGATCCTTCGAGCGGCACGAAGAAATGTGACTTTGAATTGTGTGCTCAGTCCTTTAACTGCTTTTTCACACACAGAACAACGACCTTGGTGGATGTAGTAGCAGAGAAATACCATAGATGAGTGCAGCCTCAATAACACGGTTATTACTTCTACAACAACATACAGAGGTTTTTTTCTTTGTACCTTTGGACGACTCAGGATGTGAGCAATACATTAAATCACAGGGGCAAAGCGAATCCTGCTTTTTTAGTGTTAAGAGCCTGACCTCGATTATGTGACACAATGCAAAAAGCACTGCACATGGAGTCAATCTGAAAATGTTCCTGTTTTCTCTTGTACCACCCACAGGACCAAACTGCTACGCGGACACAGCAGTCATACCAGCCGGCCGAGAGGTGAAGATTGATGAGTGTACAATCTGCTACTGCACATACGAGGAGGGCACATGGCAGATTGAGCGTCAGGCCACCTGCAGTAAGAACGAGTGCCAGCGGAGCTAGAGACTGGCACGCTGAGGGAGGACATTGGCACACATCACCAGCGCCAGTCCGTATGTAAACTCTCGGCCTTTCACCCAGTCTGCAGGACATCAGGGTCGGACCGCAGCCCTCAAGCAATTCAGCATTTATACTGTAGTCACTCCTGCATTACAGAAAAAATGCTTTTATGAAAGTTTATAATCCACACACAGAATATCTATTTATCTATGTATTAAATTATTTATGAGTATATTCAAATATAGGGATCATTAATGCTTAACTAGTGAAAACATATTTTTTATAGCCTCTGTATTTTAATAAGCAATGTATTGGACCAGAGGTCAATAAAACAATAGAATGTATAGAACACACACAGCTGTCTTTGAAGGTGAAAACCTCAACATGTCGACATGTGGCGTCATCCAACAATCCAGACACCTGCCCCTCTACCACCAAAGTGCACACTAGACTTGTGCGATATGTTTTAGAACGACGGGTAAAGATTTGCTGTGCAGGACGATCATGAGCAGAGACTTTAAAAAATATAAAGAGAAACAGGAGACTTCAAGATGATCAGTTTTCTGATTTCTTATCTTTTTTGGATGTTCAAATGTGTTTTGATTTGAAAGTGCTTTTTTGTATTTCTCTTGGTACTGTGTGTTGATGTTTCAAATAAATGCCAATCTGTGCTCGGTAAATGCGTAAATGGTACTGTTCAGCTGTACACCAAGGTTTGCTGAAGGGGTGTTTTACATCGACAGGCTGATAACACATTTTACGATTTCAACTGGTTAATCAAATAATACTGGAATGAACCATCAGGATCAATCCTATGGAATAAATTTCAGATATCGCAGGAAGCCTTTGAATGAGACAAACCTGAACAAATCCACTCTCATTTTTCCATTTGATGCTCTAGGATGAGATCTGTTTTGTGGGAGAGCTGCAAGTAAATATTTAATAACTCAACCAGAGCATATTTAGTTATTTAGTAAAACTGTGGTTTCATTCCCAACAGCTGCAATCATCACAATTTACACTTGAGAGGTGGGATGTTTTCAAGCTCCATTAATAAAGCTGGACTGGATGTTTCAACGCACTGATCCCAATTTGCTTCCAGAAATCAGAAATTGAAAGGTCTTGTGACTCCTGCCTTCATCTTCAATTTGAGGATGAGGAGTAATGAATGCATGCATCTGGTAGAGCCATGGGGCCCCACAGACCAGCAGATCAAAATGATGATTCAATTATTTAAGACCAGGTAATGAACACTGAAGGGCAGGCTATGATAATTGGAGGCAGATGCTGTGTCTCTGCGTTTTCCTGTTATCTTTTGCATTAGCAGTGTGGTGCTCTGTGTCACCCTTTGCAATGTGCCGGCCACGCCACAGAACTCTTTGATCAAGGGGTTGCCAGACAACGACGGTGCATCTCCAGCAGCGAGACGTGCCTGTCAGCCCGTCGTCAGGATTGAGGTAAATAAGCCTAAATGCATGTACATGCAACATGGCAGGCTTCTCTTGGAGCAGCGGGGGAGCAGTGGCACACATCTATTAAGGTTTTGTGGTCATCCTTAACTCCCCTGTTTCAATGACTCTGTGGGTGCTCTCAGACCGGAATCATTCATTCGAGGAAAACAGGCCTGTGCTCACGCATACAAGTGGCAAATGATCGTGGGATTTTTCTCTCTTTCGCCCCTTCAGTTTTCTTCTATTTTAAGATATTACTACTGTGTCATCGATACTCAGTTACTTCTGATTCCTCTGGCAGCTACCTGGTGCAGTCTCAGCCTGGGAAGTAATGACTCTGACCCCAGATGTTATCCATCACCTCCGTCCGTTCTGTCCGGGCCATTAACATTAACAAACGGCTTTAGATCAATTCATATTCCAGCGGTTATTTAAATTCAGTTCTGTCTTTGATTGGAAAGAGGAAAGCTGTGATTAAGACTTCCTATAAAGTCTTCTCATCAGAGACACCACTGGGTCTTGTACTCTGACATAAAACTCCCAGCAGTAATAAGCATCTGAACCCCTTCAAAGACCTGCCATTAACAGGACCCATCTGTTGGAGAAACCCATGAGACTATAACTTGCTCTTCCGAAATGCTGCAACTCTGTAATTAGGCCTCTGCCTGTTCTGGCCAATGTGCACTGCTGCACATTGAGATGAGATGTTTTCATATTACAACACGTAATGAAATGTATTATTCTTTTATAGCAATTGGCCAGCTCTGTCATTTCCAAAGAAAGCATCATAAACCTTCTGGTCAAGAAAAGAAAGTTGAAGCTTTGAGAGTGTGCAGTTTCACTTTAGGACTTTTATTAACTCACGAACATTAAGGAATAAAAGAGTTTTCCATATTGGCTTTTGCTGAAAGATAGTAAAATATGCTGTAACCTAAATGAAAGAGGAAACCTAATCTTACTCTACAAAGTTAATCAAATCCATAAACTCTTCAACACATCCTAAATGCATCATCAGTTAAATTTTTCTTAAACTTTAGCATGCTATTATTTGCCAGCATGGTAATATGATATGACTGAGAGACTCTGTAGCAAAGGTTGTAGAGTGATGAAAGATGATCTTTTACTTTGTGCTCAGTGAACAATCTCATAACTCTCAAAACAAAACAATTTTAGTTTCAGGGACATGAACCTCTAAGGATTCCTGTGCTCAAATAGTCTACAGTTAAAACCAAGTTCTCCAAGGTTCACAAGCAACGTTATCTGAACTTGTACCTCACTCCATGTACACCCATGTACTTAATGGTTAAACTAAAGAGAAACACTAACTTTTATACGTATTCTGAGAATCACTGTATGCTCTGTAAAAGGGCTTGATAATATATCAACTACATTTTATCTTATGGCTGCTGCATTCTTACTTTTTTTTTCATTTTTGGCATCTGTGATATGTTTCTCAGAAAAATGTTTCTTTGAAAAACTAATTAATATAATACACATGATTGAAGAAGAAGCTGATCTGAAAATGATGAGCAAATCCTCCAGATGCTGGTGGATTAAGTGCTTTAAAGCCTTATTGAGTTTTTTGAAATGATAAATCCTTATTGTTTCATTAGATTATTGTGTCATATTGCATCATGATATAAGACGCTAAACACAAGCAGTTTTACAAACACGTCCAGACGTTCATGTGGTGATTGTAAAGATTTATTCCCAACTGGCAAAGTTTCCCTGAACGCGAAGAGCAACAACTTGAAAAGTTAACTAAAAATACTTACAGGAATTTGCTGATGTCAGTATTTATGAACCCAATGACATAATTTTACAGTCAGATCTGATCTCAGTAGTCTTTGTGAATTTCTCAAATGTGTATTTTTCTCTCACAGGTTCAACACCTCACTTTTTGTGGAGCATTTGAATACAGAGTTAATATGAAAGTTTTTGCAGTTGGTGCATCTTTAAAGTTCAGAATAAGAAAAATGTCATTTGATCGCAGCTTTAGATCAAACCACTTCAAGGCCAACTTCAGTCTAAAGTTTCAAAAGTGCTGGTATAAGATTTCCCACACAAAGGTGTGTATGTCAATGGTCGTGCTGTCTGCAGTCTAATGGAACGCATTAAGAGCTCTGAGAGACAATGGTGTGACAGAGGTGAAGATGTTCTCTGAGCCCATATTACAGGAAAATAAGCAGGTTCACAGTGCAGTTTACCTGCCTGCATCTATACCAGACAGTGATATTGAACTGCACATAGATTTCACTCCCCCATGATACTAAAGTGATATATTTATTAATAATTATTTGGGATTATAGGTTTTTGTTGTGTATTCATCTTCAAATGCTGCTTGTATGTATCTCTACAGGAAGGAACTGTATGACAACTGAAGGTTATGAATATTTAATGTCACATTTGCAGCATTTATTTCAATTTCTGAGGGAGCACTCAGCTTTTAAAGAGAATCACTTGAAATAAAAGCCTAGTTATCTGTAAGTGCATTTAGACTTTCTGCTTAATACGGGACCGTTATCAACGGCGCGGTTCATTAGTAGATTTCCGATTACCCTTTTTTCATAAAACTGGGCCTTTGAATTTCCGCTGTGAGAATAGAGAAGAAATTCCAGCTCTCTGTTTCTCTGACAGTGTCTTTATTCGTCCAAATTCCACTTTTCTGAACATTAATTTCACCGGACAGCTGCTAAATGCTGGTAACATGCTTTGAGGTTTCCATTTGCACCTTCCTCAATGATTTCTAAGCACATCACCTCAAATCCATTAAATCCAGCTTTGAATCTCTTGACAGTTCAGCGAGTCATCCACATGTAACATTCCCATGTGATTACGACGCTCCTTGATCAATCTGAGTGAATCACTTCATGATTGAGCGCCTGAGTCTCCAGAGTCTGGGGCCTGAAATTGTCCTTTATAGATTTGGTATTATATCTGCAGTGGCACTCCTCCTCCGCTGTTACCCAGTCTTTCACATTTTCAATTTCACCTCTCTGCCTTGTCTTGCCTCCAGATGAGTGTGACACTGTTGCACCGCTGCGTTGTCTTCCCGTACATACATCTGTGGAGCACATCACACCTGCAGGGACTGATACTGTTCAATTAACTTTGACTGGGTTTTGGAGGGATGGGAAATAGGAACCAAACTAACTTGGTTCTGCTTTTGTGTTTAAAAAGTGATCTAGGCCCGAGAGAAAGCACATCCCCTATTTTCTCTCTAAATAACGTCGGTTGGGTTTAGGCGACTGCAGGTTCAATCTGGCCCTATCCATCACAGACTGTTATAGGGCAGGTAAGTGAGTGATAAGACTCCGAGCATCTTGGAAGGACAATGTTTCAGCGTTTCATCCGCGACAATGTGACCTGCTTGCTGAACACATTTTAAGGGGCGTCCAATTCAGTGAAGCACTGCTGAGCCTCGCACATCTGCATAAGTTGCTGTCAGACTGAAGATAGTATTGTGAATTGTTAGGTTATCATAAGAGAAGCCGCTTTTGTCTCAGCCCTGCGGAATACTAAGTTTTATATTTGCAGGGCAAACATTCATCCTGGAGTGTTCTCCTTTTTTGTTGTTGTGTATTTCCTATGGCCCTTGTATGGTAATTCATCATCCAGCTCCTGATACATACTGTGAGAGTGCCCAGTGAATGTATTAGCTAGCAGCTCACATGCTGCTCCACATTACCTTGGGATATTTTGTATATGAAAACAGGAGGGATGACAGACCGCGATGCAATGCTGTTTTGCATTCTCAAAGAACATGAAAAGCCCGAGCTGACAGAAAGGAAATGGAGGCTCAGGCTGTGGTTGACCACTCTCTTGCTTCTTTCCTATGTTTGAGTTTCAAATGCAGGTAATTTCACTTTGGGCAGAGGTAATGGAAACAACCTAGGTGGGCAACACGCTGGAGGTTTAATAATGGAAACCATGGTCTTGAGGGACAAGTCCATCTTTGTGAGCAACAGAGAAAGTCCATTACCCTCAGTGTTTCTTGTGGCTAATGCAACGTCTTATTCGTAATTGAAAATCAGAGCTGTGTTATTGCAAACTGATGAAAATGTGGAGTGGTGCCCTGTACGCCACCCTTAGACAACTTGTGACAGATCCAGAAATATCCTTAAGACTAAAAATGATCTAAAATGGTTCTTCCAACCTTGTAGATCTGACATAAAGTGAAGTATTCCTTCATTGGCACCATCCCTCATGATTTTAAA